AACTCTTCCTTTTGGCAAATCTTGGCGAGGTGATCCAGTATTCCTTCTAAGGCGATTTTTGATAATATGTCGGCCTCGATGTTGTCCACCCGGGAGATATGCTCTATTTCATATGTTCCAAACTCTTTCAGCATTTCTATCGCCTTCTCCTTATACTGGGTCATCTGGACGTTCTTAGCTTCGCAGGTGCCGGAAATCTGTCCCACCACCAACCGGGAGTCAGTTTTGATCCGCAGTCTTTCTACTCCCAATGCCTTGGCAAGTCGAAGGCCGCCCAACACAGCCTCATACTCGGCTTCGTTATTAGACGTCGGGAACAAATAGCTCAGGGCGTAGTAGAGTCGGAACCCCTCTGGAGTGACTAGCATGATTCCGCCTCCACAGTGTTGTCGACTCGCTGCTCCATCCGCGTGCATCTCCCACCACTCACCTGAACGGTCTTCCGTGGTGTGCTCTTTCTCTTCTTCCCGTGCCGTGCATTCGACCAGGAAATCGGCCAGGGCATGCCCTTTTATAGACGGTCACGGTTGATACTCGATCCCGTACTGGGTTAATTCCACGACCCATTTCACCAGTCGTCCTGACGACGCGGGGTTTCGCAGTACGCTCCCCAGCGGCTGATCGGTCAGTACCCGGACAGTATGGGCTTGGAAGTAGGGCGTTAACTTGCGCACGGTGATCACTAGTGCATAGATGATATTCTCCAAGGCTGTGTACCGTGTCTCGGCGGCCTTCAGGGAGCGGCTTACGTAATATACCGGGTGCTGGATATGCTCTTCTTCCCAAACCAGAACCGAGCTCACCGCCTTGGGGGAGGCGGCTAAGTACAAAAACAAAGGCTCACCCTCCCGCGGGGTGGACAACACCGGAGGTGTGGAAAGATACTGTTTTAGCTCCTCGAACGATTGCTGACACCCGGTTGTCCAGGCAAAACCTTCCTTCTTCTTCATGGCCTCGAAGAATGGTATAGTCTTGTCCGCCGCCTTACTTAAGAAGCGACTGAGGGCAGCCAGTCGACCAGTCAATCGTTGCAAATCTTTGACGGTGCTGGGAGGCTGCATATCGACGATGGCCTGGACCTTTTCCGGGTTGGGCTCGATGCCTCATCTAGTCACCATGTATCCTAAGAATTTTCCGCATTGCACCACGAAGGCACATTTCTTCGGGTTCAGCCGGAGATTATACCTTAGCATCACTTGGAAGCAGTCGGCCAAGTCCTCCGCGTGTTTGGCCTCTTCTTTGCTTTTGACCAACATGTCGTCCACGTAGGCCGCCATGGATTTGCCCAGTAAGTCTTGGAATAGCCGAGCTACCATCCGAGTATAAGTGGCTCCAGCATTCTTGAGTCCGAAGGGCATAACTCGGTAACAATACACCCCGTCTGGTGTAAGGAACGCGGTTTTTTCCTCGTCGGCCGGGTGCATGAAAATCTGATGATATCCCCTAAAGGCGTCCATAAAGCTCAGCAGGGCTTACCCTGCCGTCTCGTCGACCAACTGGTCAATCCGTGGCAAGGGGAACGGATCCTTTGGGCAGGCTTTGTTAAGATCAGTGTACTCCACGCACATCCGCCACGCCGGGGGTTTCGGTACGAGGACCACGTTCGCCAACCACTCCGGGTATTTAACCTCTCGGATGTGGCCCGCGGCTAGCAGCGTGCCCACTTCTTTCTTTACGAATTCCCTTCGGTCATTGGCGAGATACCGCTTTTTCTGTACGACCGGCCGATAGTCCGGATCCACGGCGAGTCGGTGGGCGATGATGGACCTGTCGACACCCGGCATATCCTCCGGCCCCCAGGCAAAGACCAGCCGATGTTTTCGGAGTACTTGGATAATTTCCTCCCGAGTCTCCTCGGGGAGACCGACACCAATTCTAACCCGCCTGTCCGGCCGTTCAGGGTCGATTTCGATTTCTTCTAATTCCACGGCCGGTTCCGGGCGGGGTATCATTGCTTTCTTTGGGGGCTTTTCCGTGATCTCGTAGACTTGCATTCCACGTTTGCCCATCCCCCTACAGGCTTTCAGGTAGTAGTCGCGGGCGACTCTTCTATTGCAACGCACCGTTCCTATCCCGTTTGGCGTGCGGAATTTCAAGCAAAGATGCTCGATGGAGATCAGTGCTCCCAAGTCCTCCAGGCCTGGTCGGCCGAGTATAGCATTGTGTGAGCAAACTAAGTTTACCATGATGAATTTCATGTTGAGCTGCTGCACGTCGGGATAGCTGCCGACCTCCACTGGCAGGGTGATGGACCCCTCTGCTTCCACCGAGTCTCCCGTGAAACCGGCGAGCGGTGTTTTGACCGGATTTAGCTGTTCTCGAGTCAATCCCATCTTTGTGAAAGTCTCGAGGTATAGTACGTTGACACTGCTTCCGGTGTCAACCAGGATTCGTCGAACGACCACTCCGTTTACGTCCATCGCTATGACCAGCGCATCTCGATGCGGTGTCTCTCCCGTGGGCAAATCTTTGTCAGTGAACGTGATTGGCTCTCGGCACACTTTCTTCGAGCTTTCTTCATGCCCGTATACTGTTCCGACGTATAGTTGTTGAGCCCAGACCTTTCTGGTATTCGCCGAGTCGCCGCCCTCCGGTCCGCCGACTATCATGTTAATGACTGGTTTTTGACGCCACTGGGCCTCGTCCTCCTCAGTAGCCGACCGCTTTTCGCGGCTATTCTCGGCGGCGACCACGGGATCATCGTCTTCTCGTGCTACTAACCTTCGCCTCCACTGATTAGGAGGCGGGGTCCCTAGCTGGATGATTCCTTCCATGACCTTTTTCAAGTAGAAGCACTCTTCCGTACTGTGAGTGTAAGACTTATGATAGCGGCAGTACTTAGAGTTCTTACCTGTCTCTTCACTCGCCATACGCTAGTTGATCTGCGGGGGCAGAGGCGGAGCGACAGCTTGAACCTCGTGCACCGGGTGCTGAGGAACCGCTCTGTAGGGATGGACCATAGGCTTGTCATACGGACGTCTAGCCTTGGGTCGCCGAGCCCCTTCCGGGCGCCTTTCCTTGGTTTCCGCGCAGGTCCTCTTTCCACCGACGGATCCTCCGACTTCGCGTTGTCGCTTATGCTTCATGGCCTGCTCCGTGTTAGCCCTTTTATTGGCCATGTGTATGGCTTCCGCGTAGGTAGTCGGGCGGTTATCCCGCAGATCCCGATACAACTGCCCGGATCGTAAAGACTCGATGAAAAAAGTGAGTGCGGTCTGATCTTCGACCTCCTCGATAGACTGAATCTCCTTTTGCCATCGAACCAAGTAGGCTTTCAGGGACTCGCCTTCCTCTTGGTGGACATCTCCCAGGTGAGTCAGATCCTTCTGTGTCTTGATGTTGGCCGCGTAATGGCTCATGAAGCGGTCGGCTAACTCCTCGAAACTGTGAATCGACTTAGGAAGCAGCGCCACTAACCACCTTTGCGTCGAGCCTTTCAGCGTGGGCAAGAAGGCGCGACACATCACCGGGTCTCGCACTCCCAAGACCTACATTTTGGCCTGATAGCTAAGCAGATGCTCGCGTGGGTCTCCGGATCCGTCGAAGGTGGCTTGTTCCGGAAATTTGAAGTCGCCGGGTACCTTGTAGGACATGATCTCGGAAGAGAATGGCAAGGCGGTGAGCAACGTCTGCCCGGGGGATTTGGTCTTTCCCCCCATTTGTTCTTTCAGATCTCGTACCTCTCGGGCCAATTGGGCCACGTCGCCTTCATTGCGAGTGTGGTTTCCTGTGGATTCCGTACTTTCGCCGACCTCGGATTCAGCCGGTCGTTCATCGTTGTGCGTCGTGCGCTCGGTCCGTCGTGTCCGAGTCTTAGTTCTCCCGGTGCGAGCTCTCCCCCGACCGGTTTCCCGATCTCGGGGCCCTGCCGGTGCGCGGCTGGGCTCCCTTTCTCCTAGTCGTTCTCGTGCAGGCTGCCGCCCAGCGTTCGGACCCAGCCTTGAATGGACTGATGGCAAGGCTTCGGTCGGGAAACTGACTGCTCCCTCACTCCTCGACTTGCGTCGGCGAAGGCTCGCCCGATCGCGTGGAGTTGTTCCGGGGTAAGGGGTATCATGGGTGGCTGCCGGTTCACCGGTGCCGTTTCGTTTCCTTGACTTTGAGCATTTCGCTGGTTCAACTGATCTCTTAGATCTGCCTCCACTCCATCGTTTCGGTTGTTCGTTTGGTTTCGTCCTTCCGACATGCTTGTGACACTTCTTTGGTCGACTCCGGGACTCGCCCTGCTCAGAGAGTCACGTAGCTCTTTGTTTCGATCCCCACAGACGGCGCCAGTGTTGGTTTTTGGGTTTTCGGGACCAAGGAGGTCCAACACAAGGTTGGTGGATTCACCTTTCTCAAAAAGTGATCGCAAAGATGGATAATCAAGTCTCTAGGAAGTGTGTGTGTCTATTCTCTGGGCATGGACTCGCCCCTCTTACAAGGGTGGAGGGGCCTTTATATAGTAGGCTCCCCTCCATCCGAATTGAAGTACATTAAACATTGCTTTCAAGGCTAATTACACTATCAGACCGTTCGGTCGCTGTTACCGAGTCGTCCAACGGCTCTTTGGCTTCTTAACGGCCCTTTTGACCGAGTCCTCTTGAATGCCGCATTGAGTGTTCCCTCAACGGCTCTTAGACCGACTTGAATGCCTCTTACCGGCTCCTGAGCCGAGTTTTGGGCCTGGCCGACTCTTGGATTCGGCCCAGGCCATCATCGGGCTTCTTCTTTTACTAACCCTTACCTCCTATCTTGGGTTCCTTCTTTCTTGGGCCCTTCTTTTTGGGCCGGGGTCCTCACCCCATCAACGAAAATCATCTATAATTGAATCTTATACTAAATTGTTTTGCAATTTGCTTTTCAATGTATACTAACAAACAATCACTAAGAAATTCATCTTCCATCTTGTTACGAAGTGTAGTCTTGACTATATTCGTGGCAGAAAAAGATCGTTCTGTAGTAGCTGTAGATACTGGAAGTGTGAGAATGAGAGTTACTACTCTAAACACAAGAGGATAAATGTTCGATTTTCTAGTTTTTACCAACCATTGGCATAGATCAAAAATACTTTCTAGTGTTCTAAAATTAGGAAGTTGTTGCACATGTTCAAAATGTTCAAGTTGCACTCTCAATTGCAAAGTCTCATAATCTTCAAAGTCTTGTGGGTAAAACTTCTCTAACAACTTGCAAACATCATCAATTCTGAATGATATACGCATCTCTTTTGGATCTAACGATGAACTGAGAACAATTAACTCTATTGCTTTATCATCAAACCTATTGCTCAACTCTTGCAACTGAGAATCAATCACCGCATAAAAAATATCAACTTTGTAATGATGCCCAATTGTTAATTCATCTTGTTGATGTCTAGCCCTTCCTCTTCTTGCAAGTAGCCCGAGTTCACCGCGATTGCCGTCGTCAACTGAGGAAACGAAAGAGAGAATTTAGGCATTTAGCTACCATTTAACTACAATATCTAGACTTTTTATTGTAGTGAAGAATGATGAATTTATCTCCAATAAAGAATAATTCATATAAAAAAAAATTCAAAGATTTAAATAATAAAAAAGAAATGTAAATTACCTATACATTTACTGCTTGAAAATGGAAGAGAAATGTCTTGTGTGTATTGCTTTGATTTGTGATTTGCGTATGCGGGTTGCTGTATCTGGTTTGGTTTAGAATTGGGTTAATTTGAGTGAAAACTTACACAAGAAATTTTGTTTGAGGAGGGAAAATATTTTGGTGACTAGTGAGGGGGACACAATTGACTTTCACACTAATAATAAATTTTCTTTGGGAGGGGGGGGGGGGGGGGGGGGGGAAGCCGTCAAGGCCCCCTATTGCCTAATACTAATTATAAAAATAAAAACAAAAAAAATTGTTGGGGCGGGGGGCCAAGGCCCCCTGCACGTCCCTGACACTATACACATTCTAATATTACATTGTGCACACGTTCACATTGAAATGCACATATACACATCATGCAACACCACCACCAACCAGGAAAACAATGATCTAAAGCTTCAATTGCTTCACATACTGACTAGTGCACAAACACATCATTAGATACAAACCACACCACAAACAAATGCACATCCATATGTATAGTACACACATGCCACACGTGTACATTGTGTTGTGCACATGTTCACATTAAAATACACGCATACACATCATGCATCACCATCATCAAGGAAAACAAAGATAAAAAATCTAAGTTGATTCATATACTTAACAAGTGCACAAACATATCATTAGATGCAAACCACACCACAAAAAAAGTGAACACACATATGTACTATAGTGCAAACACGTCACACTTATACATTGCAATGTGCACACTCTACGACACGTTCAATTTTTTTTAGTGATACTATAATGAAACTATAGTGTATATCTCACATAGTCACATATTGAGTTATATTGCCAAATTAATCTGTAGTTGAATTAGAATGATACTTTAGTGTTCATATAATGAAACTACCGTGTGTATAAAGTGAAACTAAATAGCATGTCTCACATATTGAGTGTAGAATGTCAAATAAAATGGTAGTTGAATAAGAACGAAAGTTTAGTACGTGGTGTCGTAATGAAACTATATTGTGTATAAAATAAAACTGAATAACAAGTCTCACATATTGAATATATATTGTTAAATGAAATTATAGTTTAATTAGAATGATACTTCGGTGGTGCTGTAATAAAACTATAGTGTATATAAATGAAACTAAATAGCAGATCTCACATATTGAGTGTATATTGTCAAATGAAACTGTAGTTGAATAATAATTATACTTAAATGGTGCTGTTATGAAATTACATTGTACATAAAATGCAACTGAAACTGAATAGCAGGTCTCACATACTGAGTGCATATTATTGTCAAATAAAACTATAGTTTAATTAGAACAATACTGTAGTAGTACCGTAATGAAATTACAATATATGTGTATAAAATAAACTAAATAATGAAAGAGATTATTACATGGACCACAATAGAATTTGCCTTCTACCATTATTAATGGAAAAAAATTTCAAACAACGTGGTTTATTTTTACCGGGTTCGCGCTGCTACGTGATCATGTGAAACAATATACTCTGAAGTAATAATCCTAAAAGAGCAGTATTCTAGAAGACTAGCCATGTCCTTGAATTAGGTGACATAACTATTTAACGTGTTGTTTACCTAACTGACCTTGGTCACCAACCCGAAAGCGTCATATTAATTGAATTGCAACATGTTATCATGGCACAAACTATGATTTGCTATAAAAAATAAATAAATAAATAAATAAAAACTATGATCCTGTTATCTAAGCATCTCCATCTCATTTTATAACTTACTAGTAAGCTGTCCAACCTTCTTGATTGATTCTTTCTGATCATCTATTAAATTGGCATATCATGCATCCATTGTATTTTATATGTAATATAAGAATCACTTGACTAGTTTACTCTATCTTATCATTTGTTAATAATAGTAAGGATTTCTTTCTAATTGTCTATAAGAATATTTCTTTCTTTAACATATAAATCATGTCAGCCGCCAGGACCCAAAAGCATAATTGCAAAGTTGACCGTTCCAAATTCGTATTCATAAATTCAATTTTGCTAACAATTAAACATACATGTTGGTTTTTTTAGTAGATAAGTTAATACCAAAGATGGTCCGAGTTTTATAGTTACGCCACGTTTAGTTTTAATATTTTCTCTTGACCTCAAACCGAGAAATCTAACTTCAAAACATAAAATTAAAAATGATTAAAACTTCAAAATCAAATGACAACGAACAAATGATAAAAAGAAAGGTTAGAATCAAACGTGACAACCAAAATCAGAAGACCATCATTGATATTAAGGTGTTTGGTAAATCGTTGTTAGCTGATTGGATTAGTAAGTTTGACTAGTTGATAGCATTAGCTAATTGTAGAAAAGTGTTTGATAAATTAGCTGTTAGCTGATAACTAATTACATGCAAAATGACTTTCTCAAAAAAATGATAGAAAAACGCTACTTTGAGAAACTTTTTGAATTTTAGCCTTTTAGAGCAATACATTATTACAAAAATTTAATTAATCAAACACTCATATTGATTGTTTAACCAAGTCAAACAGTTAATAGTAGTCAAATAAATCAAAATTAGCTGATAAGCTAACTATGTTACCTAATAGGATCATTAACTCTTAGTAGATTGAACAATTCTTGCTTTATGTTGACGCCCCAAGTCTTGCATTATCTTTGTTTAGAATGGGAAGACTCTAACAGTAAACATCATTGGCACAAACCTCAAACTATTCCTAGAAAAAAATCGTTGCGTATATAACATATAAAATATAAATGTATAATATCAACAACTTTTAATTATGACAAAATACATCATTCAATCAATCTGGTATCAGAGTTAGACCAGAAGTCTTGCTTTACAAACCTTATCCAGACAGATCAAGAGGTTTTTACTTTTTAATTTTGGCTTAGTATGGACATAAAGACATACAACAGATAGTGCTGTTTAGAATGGAGAAACATCCATCCTGTTCTCCAAAGTCTATCAAGAGTGTTTCCTTAAAATTCCTAAGAACAGAAATCCCATGAAGCAATGGTTGAGAATGTTTTGTTGTTTGCCCATATGGAGGGCTTAATCATAAAGTCCATCCTGTTCCCAGACATCAACGAGAAAATCTACCATTTCCTGTCAATTGCAATGCTGAGAAGTTGGTAAGATGGAAAAAAAAAACACTAAATCTAATGTGCAAATGCTAAACACACGAGACTAACCGATAGAGGTATTGGTTGAGGAAAGGGTTTGTTTGTCCCAAGCAAACTATCGTAGGTTGCATCAAAACTGCAGTGCACAACATGAACACGTTGTCATGATTCATGCATGCAGTATCTAATAGACAGATGACTCGAGCAGCAGATAAATTCAGATTGTTAACAGGAAAACCAGGAAAAATAGCAGTAGCAGAAACCGTGATTATTATCATACTAGGATGCAGGGTCTAGAATGTTGGGCGAAGGCCGGTAAGGGGCCAAGTCCATCAATTGGTGGCTAGGAGATTGTTGGGCGGAGGCCAGTGAAGGGCCAAGTCCAGCACCCTAGCTCTCGAAAATGTGTGGCAGTATAAGGAAATAAGTTGTGCCTTCGCTACTAGCTATAGCTTTTGGTATAGTGAGGGGGAATTGTTGGGCGGAGGCCGGTAAAGGGCCAAGCCCAGCACCCTGGCTCTCATAAATGTGTGGCAATATAAGGAAATAAATTGTGCCTTCGCTACTAGCTATAGCTTTTGGTATAGTGGTAAGCGTTTGATCCTAACAAGTGGTACCAGAGCCAGGTCATGAGACTGGCAGGTGCTAGGAGGGGGAATTGTTGGGCGGAGGCCGGTAAAGGGCCAAGCCCAACACCCTAGCTCTCGAAAATGTGTGGCGGTACAAGGAAATAAGTTGCGTCTTCGCTACTAGCTATAGCTTTTGGTATAGTGGTAAGCGTTTGATCCTAACAAGTGGTACCAAAGCCAGGTCATGAGACTGGCAGGTGCTAGGAGAGGGAATTGTTGGGCGGAGGCCGGTAAAGAGCCAAGCCCAACACCCTAGCTCTCAAAAATGTGTGGCGGTATAAGGAAATAAGTTGCGCCTTCGCTACTAGCTATAGCTTTTGGTATAGTGGTAAGCGCTTGATCCTAACATAGAACGTTTTCTTTTGTTTTTACCTTAGTAACAACAAACACCAAGGTTCAACAAAGTGGAGAAGAGGTAAAAGGATGCCGACCTTAATTTGGGTTCGTCAACCGGTGCACGCCTCTGGGATTCTCTCTTTCCAACCCACTGCTGCCTTATTTGATTCCAAAGAAGAAAACCTGATCCAGCAAAGATTCTCATCAATTCGATTGTAAATTTACAAATAAAGTAGATAACAGTTCGTGAGTCGTGACTGCTTAGTGCTTATTACGGAGTAAAATAAGGCATGCACTTGCCATGATTTACAAATTCCGAATGGTTGTTTGCGGTGCCAGCGCTACAATCGAGGGCGAGATTTGAGGTGCTAATCGATGAGACACTTCTCTGGGACGGAACTGTGCTATTATCCATCTCACCGGTACTGCTACTCCAAAACTCTCCTCCCAAACTCTTCTTTGTTGCTTCTCGAACTTGATTTTTCAATCCTCTCAATCGTTTTTCTGAAGAAATCACAAATGGTGATTTGGCACAACATCCAAAACAACCTTTGCTCTGTTGAAAATCAGGTTTTAACCACAGCAATGATTAGAAATTTAGAGACACAACGTCCCTTTCAACTGTTGACAATTATTGATAATGGCAGGCCGATAAGTTATAACATAATTGATAATTAACAGAAAAAGATAAACTTATTATTCTCATGGTCAAAGTCATATATCGGAACAACTCCAGAACCACAAAGGCATCAGGAACACTGCACAGAGTTTAACAGTGTATTTTAAACTAAAACTTATTTCAATTTATTATCGACCCTTTTTCAAATAATTATGTCTATAAATTCATTTACAGTGAATGATGCAAACAATCAACCAAATGTTGTTGGGTAGAAACTTAAGACTTTCGCACGCCATTACGCCAATTGTCAACCAGACAGCTAAAGATATTACAAGAAGAGCTTAGAATTGTCTTCAATTTCAGACCAAGGTGAAATCTTGTAGGTTATAAAGAAGTACAATTTTCGAGCACAAACATCCAGGAATCAATTAGGTTAGTTCAAGCAAGTAAGTAGAATCTTGGTCATTCACAAGAATTTCAAACCATCAAGTTAATGCCATCTAGGCGTCTAGGGTCTCTGTGTAAAGTGATTTTGTCACATTTAGTCCTAAACTTTCAAGTTAATCACCTGTGGTCCTTCAACTTTTAAATTAACCACCCATGGTTCTTCAACTATCAAATTTTAACTAGATGTAGTCCTTCAACTTTCAAAATTTAGCCAGCCATGGTCCTTCTGAGAGGATTACTTTGCCCTTAACCAAGGCTGGTTAAAATTTGAAAGTTGAAGGACCGCGGGTGGTTAACTTGAAAGTTTAGGACTAAACGTGGCAAAACCGCTATACTCGGAGGACCAGAAATGGCATTAACTCTCAATTATACTAATTACAAACAACTATAAAGGGTTACTTTTCAGCCTGCCAACAACACGATAAGTTTTGAAAGATCAATTCAACATCATTAGTTCATTATCAATCAAACACACATGATTATTACTGTATTACTGAAGAGAAGAAGAAGAAGAAGAATTGCACAAAATCTAAAGAGTGCAATTTTATCAGGCATGAAACGGCACCAAGAGAACCACTATGAATCCTTATATATTTCTCCATTAAATTGAGGAAAGAATACAGAAACCAGTTCTTACTTTAAAAAGATTTCTGCAACTTTCCTTGAGGTTTCTCATCATCAAAACAAACAGGGCAGGAAGATTCTCCCTCAAACATCTGAAAACTGAACAAAGAGGCTTCCTTTCAAAACATTCCTCCATCCAAATGAATAAGCAACAACCACGATTGTTCATATATAGAGAAGCAAATCCCTCAGGCGCAGGATGCTAAAGCTAAACGACACAATTACGTATAGAATATTGCCTTCAAGCAAACAAAACTCTCACACTTAAACAAGCTAACCACGATAATAAAGAAATCAAGAACCACAACACCCCACATCAGTTTTGTGCACCATTATTTCTTGCTTTGCCTGGAAGCAAAATACCAAGATTCCAAAACCCACCATCTAAAAGCAAACTAAAAGTTGAAGCCCTAAATCATTTCACTGTGCAGTAAATCAATTAAAAGATTCCCAAAAATTTTACTACAGACTTAAATTAATAAACCCTCTAGCTACTTTTGCTCTGCTGCTCTCTCTTCCATTCAAAGATTTGATTTTTCTTTGTGTGTTAAACAAGAACATCAAGGAGTGCTGTATAACTTCTAAAGAATTAAAATTCTAAAGAAGCCCAAATGCATAAAACATAGAGAGAATCGAAATACTGACCCCCATACAAGCAAAGTAGCGATAAACCCAAGAATCAGCCGATCTATGCAGTTGCATTTATCAAAAAGCAATTGAAAGAGATAAAAACAATTTTATTTCAATCTCAGCAACCCGGAAATAAAGACAATGATAATAACATCTTTCTGGAGAGCATTTTACCTCAAAATTCCTCAGCTTTTATGTTTTTTCCCCAATTCTGTTTGAAAGCTAGAAGCTCCGCGTTCTTGGATAAAACTGGTTGACCTTTTGCTCAAGGATTAGAAGGCCAAGAGATGAAACTAAACAAGAAAATCATAGTTTAAAAACTTTTACAACTTTAAAAGATTAAAATAAGTAAAAGGAAATGTCGACAGGCGAAAGGCAGCTAATTGTAGTAGGTTCTGTATGTGTAAATTGGAGTGGACAATGGTATTGCGGCTACATGTTCCTTGAAAGTACCGGATACTCGCATAGTTTTTTTTTTTTTTTAATACAAACAAGAGTTAATTATCAAAATGGTCCTTTGATTATAGCGAAATTATCAATTTGATCTTTGACTATTTTTTTTAATCAATTAAGTCCTTAAACTTTAAAAATCTTAACCAATTTGGTCCTCCGTTTGTTTGACCGTTAGTCAACCGTTAACTTGGGACCAAATTATTAATTTCACTATAGTTAAGGGACCATTTTGGTAATTAACTTTAGAGGTGGACAATTGGGGTTTAGTTTTCTCGAACCGAACTAGTTTAGTTCGGTAATATACCGAACAACCGAACGATATTGGATTCTTGAATACCGAACGATTTGATAAAAATTAATTCAAATCAACCGAATTGTTCGATAAAAAATTAAACTGAACCGAATACTGTTTGATTTTTTCTTTTTTGATATATTTAATTTTATAAATCAATGGGCTTTCCGCAAACCAAACAAAATCTTTTCTTTTTGGGTTCTAATAATTATAAACTCTTCATTCTGCGCACGCTTTCTATTTAATTCGTACATTTCTGATTGTAATATGTATTGGTGTGGTTTGTTCAATGTTGCTGTTGGCATGTGATTCTGAGCTAATTCTCTCTTTTTTTTGGGACCTATTTCATCTTCTTTAATTATTTTGACTTGAAAAATAGACACTGAGGTAGGAATGTGGCAGTCGTTATATTATAGACCGCGGTGCATGTGCACCGCGGTCAAAAACGGCGTCGTTTTTTTAAGTAAAGAAACGGCCCGCCGTTAGAGTTAACAGAGTCCGCTTGTTTGGTGTATTAAACACCAACTGACACTATAGTATATCTAAACCGACACTGCAGTTATATCAAAATGATACTGTAGTTATAGTGAAATGAAATTACAGTGTATATAAAATGAAACTGAATAACATTTCACATATTTGAGTGTATATTGTACAATGAAGCTGTAATTATATCAAAATGATCATGTAGTTGTGTTTTAATGAAATTATAGTGTATATAAAATAAAATTAAATAACATTTTCACATATTTGAGTCTATAAATATCGAATGAAACTATAGTTATATCGAAATGAAACTGTAGTTGTGTTGAATTGAAACTGCAGTGTATACAAAATGACACTGAATAACAGAGTTACTTTTTGCAAAAGGGTGCGAAACGGCGGAAACTAACACTGTTTATTTTCATTTAAAAAAAAAAAGACGCGCGGTGCATAATATAATTTGCCGGAATGTGGGGATGTTACGTTACGTTAGTGATTAATATTTTTGAGAATTAATTACCAAAATGGTCCATTGACTATAGTGATTACCAATTTGGTCCCAAGTTAACGGTTGACTAACGGTCAAACAAACGGAGGACCAAATTGGTTAAGATTTTTAAAGTTGAAGGACTTAATCGGTCAAAAAAAAAAAATAGTCAAGGACCGAATTGGTAATTTCGCTATAGTCAAGCGACCATTTCGGTAATTAACTCTACAAACAATTCTAATATAATTTGGTTAGACGGTTAACTTAGGGGGGGTGTATTCAATCTAGACTTTTAAAGAGTTTTAAAGACTTTTAACGACTTTCAAAGTTTGGTAGTATTCAATTTAGACTTTTAAAAACTCTTTAAAAGTCTACCGGTATTTGATTCAGACTTTTCAAAAGTCTTTAAAAGTATACTGGTATTCGTTTCAGACTTTTATGGCATGTTTGGTTTATGGAATAGGTCAGGAATGGAATAACATTCCTTGGAATAGACCTATTCCATCGTTTGGTTAGATTATTTTGTCATGGGAATAACATTCCTAGGAATGAGCTATTACCTTCGCAAGGGGAATAGTCATGTTTGACTTATGGAATATGTCAGGAATGCAATAACATTTCTTGGAATAGACATATTCCATCGTTTGGTTAGATTATTTTGTCATGGGAATAACATTCCTAGGAATGGGCTATTACCTTCGCAAGGGGAATAGTCATTCCTAGGGGAGGCTTGGTGTTAGCTATTCCCATGCCCTTGGGAATAACTTTTAGGGTGAATCAACGATTTGGTCCCTCACTTATTCGCGACTTGTCAATGTTGCCCCTGAATCACGTATTCATCGATTTAGTCCCCGAAAATAATTGTTTTTCGTCAAATCAGTCCTTATGGCCGTATTTCGTCAAGTCTCAGGCGAGAGCTCCGATTTGCCCTGGGCATTTTGGTCTTTTCACGCCTTCTTCTTCATTCCATCGTCGCCGACGTCAGCTTCACCTCCGATGATGAGTTGTTGACCCCAAACGTCACTCTCCGGCGAGTCATCCAGTCGTGGTGCTGGTTTGCTGCTTCGCCGGGAGGGATCAACTGCCAGGGACCCACCACTGCCGTCTCTGCCTCGCCAGGAAAAGGGGAGGTCGCCGCCGCCATCTCTTGAGCAAGGGTCGCCGGAAAAACGAAGCTAAGCTTGCCACGCCACCGCCGATCTATTTGCTTCGCTGGAAAAGAAAGAGGGGCGGAGGTCGCTGCTCCGATCTGCTGCTTCCGCCTCTTCGTGATTCCACCAGAGAGAGGGAGGGGAGATGTAGGTCCATGGGCCTTGTCTCGCCGTCGGATGTTGTTGAAGCCGTACGTGAGTTAGCCGAGAGAAGAAGGGAGAGACGAGAGGTAGATAGGGATTTGTTTGGTTGTTGCTCAGCTTTTACCGAGAGAGAAGAGAGACGGAGCTAGCCGCCGCGATCTGCCGGGGGATCGCCGGCGCTCGCCGTCGTAGAAGAGGAACGAGAGAGAGAGCTAAGATGGAGAGATACGGCAGAAAAGGGCTGTTTGCTGAGATTCTCAAATTGCATGCTAAGGAATGGAAGAATTCTCCTTGTTTACCATTGGATTTGATTCATAACACCATAGGTGTTAATTAGGCAAGCCATCGGAGGTGCAGCTGACGTCGGCGGAAGAGATGGAGCTCCCTCTGGCGAGCTTGAGCTTCTCCGGCGAAGTTTGGTCAGAGTTAATGAAGAAGAAGGTGTGAAAAGACCAAAATGCCCAGGGCAAATCGGAGCTCTCGCCTGAGACTTGACAGAATACGGCCATAGGGACTGATTTGACGAAAAAAAATTATTTTCGGGGACTAAATCGATGAATACGTGATTCAGGGGCAACATTGACAAGTCGCGAATAAGTGAGGGACCAAATCGTTGATTCACCCTAACTTTTATATCACAAATACTAAAAATACCCTTTGCACATTATATAATATTTATATTTATTTAATAAATATAATGTATTATATAAATGTATATATTTAATTAATTATAATTTTTATCTATCAACCTATCAATAAATATATATTTAAATAAATTATTTACATATATATATATATATAATTAACTGTATAAGACTCGCTCCTTAGATATGGAGCCTTGGCTCCTAAATTAAGTAGCCTGCCTATCTGCATGCCTAGCGGATGGGCATTGCAAGCTTGCCTAGTTAATGAGCATTACAATTGAAATTATGAAGATTTGAGGCTCCTATAAAGGAGCCTCAAGGCTCCATTCCTTACTTCTCAAACCGATGTGGGATAAGTGAGAAAATAAATATAAATATAAATATGTATTTGTATAATAATAATAATAATAATAATAATAATAATAATAATAATAATAATAATAATAATAATAATAATAATAATAATAATAATAATAATAATAATAATAATAATAATTATTATTATTATTATTATTATTATTATTATTATTATTATTATTATTATTATTATTATTATTATTATTATTATTATTATTCTCTCACACACACATGCAGATACATGTGTGTATATATATATCTGCATGTGTGTATATATATATATATATATATATATATATATATATATAACATTTAGTATATCATAATCTATTATTATTATTATTATTATTATTATTATTATTATTATTATTATTATTATTATTATTATTATTATTTTGTATAAGGGTATTTATGTCTTTAAAACCTATTCCATTTCTATTCCTTTAACCAACCAAACACTGAAATACAATTACTAAAGTCTATTCCTTTAGCCAACCAAACAATAGAATACAATTCATATTCTATTCCTTACCTATTTCATTCCCTGTAGAATAACATTCCTATTCCCTCCAAATTCATTTCATGAACCAAACGTGCTGTTATAGAGTCTCTAAAAGTCTACTGGTATTCAAATATTTATCAACTTTCATAGACTCCATCAGAATAGGATCCCTGTAGACTTTTTCTTCATTAATATAAATAGATGAAATCCGACCCTCCAACCCCAAACTTTTCAATTTTCTCTACAGACTTTTTCCTCTATCTAAACCAGACAAGTGTTTCATCAATTTATATCAAATTTTACGGTATGTTTCAAACTTTTCATAATATTATACGTTGTAATTTTTTTTAATTATATTTTATGAAATTTTGTTTTGCTGCGAACAGCAACAAGAATTTCTTGATGCTGATCGTAGATTTCTTGCTACTGTTCGCAACAGGCTTGCTGTTCACAGCAACAACGTAACCATGCTGTGAAATTCGCAGCCATAAATCTTCTATAATTTTTTGCAATTAGTTAAGCTAATGTACTCAATTTTTTTTAAAAATTCTTTTTATATAATTAAGATAATTTTATGTTATTATATGTTCATTAATTATTAAGATATGTATTTGTATTAAGTTTAATTTTTTGACGATGATAATTTTGAACAAATGTTTGAAACTCAATAACAACAATAAGAGCACGCCAATGAATGGTTGGCTAAAATAGCTTTGGATATGTGGAGAGATACCCAACAAGGTGAAATCAATTCCAATAAAAAATAATTGTACTAACAAGATGAATATTTTAATTTGTACTTTTTCATTTTAGATATTTTGATAATTATATTACTCAACATTAGATGTTTCATTAGTTCAAGAAATATTTGTATTGATTATATTTAATGAAAATTGATTATATT